AAAAAAAAAAAAAAAAAAAAAAAAAGTGAAGCATTGTGTAACTAGAAAACCGATTAATTGGGATTAGATAATTATCAAATTATAAATTAAAAATAATTGTTGCAGATTTGGAGGGAATAACATATAGAATATGCTGTGGAATAAAGGTGGGAACTAAGCGAATATTCGTATCTCTTAACGGGACATTTTGCTTGGCTTTCGGCCATTGGTGCTTGCTTGCTGCCACATCCAACAAAGTGATCATAATTGCATATCAATATAGTACTATTATTTTCACTTTCACACACTTCAATAATCATAAAAGTAAAATAAGAAATGCAAAAACAATTATACCTTCATAGCCGCTTCTATGGCTTCACTTTGCTTCGATCAACTAAAGGCATCCGCCTTCGACTGATCTGATTACCTTATAAATAGGAGTGACGACAACAAGAGAATGGTAGAGGATAATTTTAAATTATTTAAGGTGTGATTGAATATGAATTTGATTGATTTAGTAAATTTTGATAAGAGAAGAAGTTATGTCTTACACTACAAGAAAATGATGAAATTTCAACAAAAATATATTTCAAAAGAATTATTTCAACGGCAATTCCAACTCAATACTATTATTTCCGTTAGAATTTTTCAATGGATTCTAACGGAAATTCCAACGAAAATATTCCGTTGGAATGGATTTTCCATTGGAATTTCCGTTGGATTTTGATGATTCCAACGGTGGATTTTCCAACAGGGGTGGAAAAAAAAATTCCAACGGAATTTGCATATTCCAACGGAAATTCCTACGGTAAAAAGTCGTTGGAAATATAGTCGTTGGAATCATCAAATTCCATCTAAAATTCTAATGAAAAACACATTCCAACGGGGTATTTCCGTTGGAATTTCTGTTGGAACTATTCCAACGGAAGCTATTCCATTGGAATATCCGTTGGAATTTCCATTGGAATATATTACCATAGGATTTTTTGTTGGAATATAACATTTATTTTGTAGTGTTAGAACGAGCTCAATTACATCGATCCACTTCTTTCACGCACGTACTCATCATTCGATAAACCATGAGACGAATCAATAGGATGAATCAAAAAGGAGTTCATACCGTTGAGAAGGTAGGCTTCTTTGCCTTAGGAGTTGGCCGATAGATAATACTGCTCGCTTGTGCCATTGGCCTCATCCTATAAGATTCATACTAAACCTATGCCACCAGGTCGATGTCCTCCGTCTTCTTCGAGAAATAGTCCCACTTCTGATTAAATTGTAGCACGATCGATGTAATTGAGGTTTAATGCAATTGACGACTGGAAGAAGAGGATCAACAAAGTTGAGTCGATCATAAGTCAATTGTATCTTTAGAAGCGAAGTTCAGTCATAGAGGTTTGTGGTATGGTTAGTTGCTAGGAGGTTTATTAAAATAATATTTAAAATAAAATAATTAAAGTTGATTTGATATAAAAGTATGAAAAAATTATTGGAAGTGATGATTGGTAAAAATATGTGGGTAGATAAATAGTGAATTAAAGTTGATTTGATGTATAAGAATAACTAGTTAATATTATTTAACTATATTGATAATATTGAGTATAGTGGAGTTGAGTTAAATTTGAGTTTTGATTTTTTGTTTTCTAGTTTTGTTAAGTTTATAACCAATCACGCCCCTTAGGGCGTGCTTGTTTACTATTATATCAGATTTTTACTGTTTATTTTTGTTAACCAAAGTTAATTCTGAAAAAAAAAAAGTATAGTTAGTTTTTAGGGTAATTTTAAGTTGGTATTAAATAATATTTAAAATAAAATAATTATAGTTGATTTGATGTAAAAGTGGAAGAAAGGTAATTGTATGTGATAGATAGTTAAAATTATATGAGTAGATAAATACTGAATTAAAATTGATGTGATATATAAGGATAATTGATTGATAATACTGAGAATAATAGAGTTGAGTTAAAGTCCATTCATATTTGAGTATGGATTGAGTATAAGTATGAGATAACTTGAAAACAAACACACTCTTATTCACATACTTAACTATAGTCTATATAGGTTTTTTGCTATTAGCATATATGGATAATTCATTATATTAGTAGAAAGTCGATAACATATTATAATAGTTGATTTGATTATTGGCTTGTATTAGTTTTTTATATAAATTAGTGCAAATTTCGTGCGATGCACGGGTAAGAGATATTCATTAATATTTATAATTAAAAATACTCATTGAATAATATTTATGTATTAAAAATATGTAGTACAAATTTACCTATGAGTAAGAGATACTAATATTTATAATTAAAAATACTCATTAAATAATATTTATAAATTTAAAATATAGAATCAATATGTAATACAATGTACCTATATTAATTTATTAAAAATGTTATATGGAATTTAAAATGTTCAAAATTACATAAAACATGTCTAATTAAAATTAGTACACAACTCGTACGGTGCATGTAACTGATAATAAATTACACTATATTCATTTCAAAATAAGTATCATTTTAAAATTTTTATTATGTAATTTGATTTGACTATAATGTAATTCGATAAAACAAACGTTTGGTAAAGTTTTGTAATATATTTAAAAATCTATGTTAATAATAAGTATAATTATGAATAACTGAATATTCTATTTATGTCAAAGTTAATATAGGCCCGTAAATATGAATATTTATTAATCTAACTTTAAAATTTGGAACTCAAATTTGGTCTATACAATAAATATATATATATATATATATATATATATAGGGGAAATGAGTCCAGTCCTTAAAATGAGTACACTCCTTAAAATGAGTCCACTCCTTAAAATATATATTAAGTAAATAATAAAATAATTATTAGTTGACTCCGGCGTTGACCGTTGACTTCCGTCGTTGATCGTTGACTTCCGGCGAAAAATCGTTGACTTTCGACGTTGACCGTTGACTTCCGGCGTTGACCGTTGACCCCTAGTATGCATTATATGTATGAAGTAAATATGCATTCAGTACCATGCATTCAATATGAACTAAATATGCATGGGATATGAATTGCACATGCAGTCCTTATGAATTAAATATGCACCAATAATATCAACTAAGTATGCACCTGTTATGAACTAAATATGCATCTGTCATGAACTAAATATGCATCATGAATGAACTAAATATGCAGCGAAAAATATGCAATAAAAATGTACATTTTATATAGGTAATTTGTGATGCATATTTAGTTAATTTATTATGAATATTTAGGTAATTTATGATGCATATTTAGTTAATACAAAATGCATACTTGTTATATTTTAATTAAATATATAATAATATTTATATAATTAATTTATTATGCATATTTACTTAATTCATGATACATATTTAGTTCTTACGAAATGCATATTTAGTTCATGAACAGTGCATACCTATTTTATTTGAGATCCAATCATAACAATTTATTTGTGTTATTAATCAATTTAAAATTAAAATTAATTATATAATAAAAATCATTAATTATTATATTTAATTTAATTGTATAAAATATATATATTATTGCATATTTTCGTTGGATAGTTAGTTCATTCTTGATGCATATTTAGTTAGTAAAATGTGCATATTTAGTATATAAACAGTGCATACATAGTTGATATTACTGGTGTATATTTAGTTCATAAGGATAACATTTATAATTCAATTATGATGCATATTTAGTTCATACTAAGTGCATACCTATTTTATTTGAGATTCAATCATAACAATTTATTTGTGTTATTAATCAATTTAAAATTAAAATTAATTATAT